AAAAAAAATCAAATTTTAACAGACAACTTTTAACTAAACATATTCAAATTTTATATTATATTCTTTATTCGTTTTTGCACGCAAAATATCTTCATGTTGATTATTTCCTTCTATTCACTAGAATTAATTCAATTCAATTTTCTCGAAATTGTTTAGGACAAAACGAAAACGTATTGTTCCCATTATTTTTGCAAATAGATTCTCTGCGATTTATCTTTTATCTTGTTCGATTATATAATACAAATTATATTTCTTGGTGTAAAGAATATTTATCTTCGAATTAATTATTCTTGATTAAAGTAACATCTGCAAGGCTTCTTTAATAGTTAAACTATGGATTTTTATCCATTTGAATGAAATTTGAAACTACAAAATCATGGAATACAATGTTAGATATATAATATTAAAAATAATATAAAGTATTCGAAGTTTAGTGCTTTTTTATTATATTCTTTTAATCAATCGTAATATCTTTTTTCTGCAATAATTGGTTGCCACAAATGTAATCTTCAACTTGATTGTAGCTGTAACAACTTACACTGTTAATATGAAGATTTACTATACTTTATTGAAATACAAATTTCTTGATCAAACAGTTTTAAGGCACAAGAATGGAAAAATTTGGCAATTACAGCGTACAAAAGTGCACTCAAAACGACGAAATTTAAAACGAGAAAAAAGCAGTTGCGCCAAATTCCTTACGAAGATCGTACGAGGAGTCTCCCACGCGATCGTCCTGGTTCTGAATCACTCAAGTCATTAGAGAGCGCGAGAGATTGAAACACGTATGGTCCATGGGTTTCGGGGAGGTCAGAGGACTCTAGTTCGTACAAGCTTTTAGGCGAAGCGACATCATGCCGAGGCGTTGCTACAGCGCAGCGTGCAACTGTCTCTCGCGTCGTTTTGTTCACTGAACTAGTTCCCTCTCCTCTTTCCGCCCTCGACCATAATCCGCCACGGACACCATCTCACCATCACCACGATCACGACGCCGCTAAGTCATTGAGATCACCACCGTGCTGGTAGCTGGAAGAAGATCGAACTCTTCGCTTCCAAGAGAAAGACGAACATGTTCAACATCGATGATTGACTTTCAAGAATCCATTGAATTTTCATCTGATTGCGGAATTTGATCGTGGAAGATGCTCGTCATGGATGTACTTCAAGGAAAACGCGAAGGAGAAGTTGGAAATCGATGAGTTTTTATGTAACTTGCATGTGATTCTCCCTTGTTGTCACACGAGTTTTAAATGAAATTCTTCTTTAATGACCCAGCAATGTCTTACCATAATGTTATGAATACTTCAATTTCTTTTTTGAAAAATAGAAAAGTCCAGATGGGAAAGAAATTACAGAATATTATTGGTTCGTATGAATGTCAAGTACAAGAATTGACGATGAAAAGAGATTACAAATGAAATTCTGAGTCAATGCAACGTTGTTCCTTGATGGATCAACTATTTTCGCTAAAACTTAAAGTCCAAAAGTTTAATAGGAAATTTGGATCATATTGTAATAAATTAAAAATGCACGATGTTGTCCATGGAGATTAAAATCATCAACTCATTGCAATTTTAGAAAAATTGAGCTCTTTTGATATCATTTGACAATTAGCCAAATTTAAACATAATTGATAAATTCTTATACTTGATTTTCGAGGAAACGATGCATTAGATGAACAAATTGTACTCATTCTTTTCGACTTATTTTTGCATATAGAATCATCCTTCAATAAATTTTTCACAATGTGCTGGTAGAATTTATTTATTTAAACCATTCATTCCATTTAAACAAGCATTGACTGAAATTGGTTCAAATAGATCTAATATTACTATATATTACTAATTACTATTGTACTATCCTCCAGTAGATTAGAATTTAAGCTTGAACTTCTATTATATACTTCATTTAATCAATTTGATTGATTGAGATTTGATACAAATGAATATCATAAAATTGCAATTATTACATATTACAATTTAATTATTTCTAAAAACTTTATTTACATACATAAACTTGTTATGGTATAAATAATTTATATATCTAAAGGTTTACTGATCTTCTCTTTATTAATAATTTTTCATTTCACGCAACGAGTTTAAATTCAGAGAAATTCGGGCTCAACCAGCAAGAATTCATTTCAGTAGTGGTTGAAATTTGATTTAAAATAAACAGGACATGCGAATAATCTTATAAACGAAATATTCTACTGTATGTACTTTGAAACGAAGTTTAAGTCGAAACTTCTACACGACATGAATCCGCTCTCTGTCTTCTGGAACACGGGATACGACGCGTTCATCGAATTTTGATGCATCGAACGTGAACGTGAAAGAATTGTTGCTCGTCGGCGAGGACGTTCACATTGCACTTGGTCCACGTGCTGTCGAGTGTCTGCTTACGGTACTGCTTCATTTGCGCTGCGTGCAGGCGCCTCATGCGTAACGCAAATGCTTATTCGCAAATATTCAGATATTATCGATTTTAATTGAGAAACTGCCCCTCTGTCTTCGTTCCTACAGCACGGAACTTTCTTCCGTTTTTTCATGAATTAATTTAAATGCGTGCATAAAATTGTAATCGCCTGTGCTCGAGTTTATCTCGAGGCTTTGTTATTTATGAATTTGCAAATGTGATATTACTGTTAATGAACGGAGTTCTGATGCGCGATGAGATAGAGTAGGCTTAATTACAGTGTTCGTGGTTAACGTGCCATGGTATTTGGTGGTTTTAGAAATAAAAAGGGTTC